GTACAAAACAGAATAAAATAATTATTACACTACGATTAGATAGTATTCCTACGTTTTCTATTCCATATCCTCATGAAAAAATCTTCTCTTCGACGCTCAGCGTTAAAATTTCACTAACAATCATTTTGGTGTATTTTGCATTATAAATTTAATTAGACTCAAAATCATGTAGTTTAGTTTCCGCTACACGAATTAGTGGCACACGTAACTCCCGTTGGATTACAACTTCAAAATTATATACACGTCCAGTTTAACGAGAAACAGTGAACAATTAGTTTACACCGCGAATCATATATAAATGTTATTTTCCAAGAAGAATTAGGAAATCGTGACCAATTGGCCCGCTCCTTAAGCACAGGTGCTGTGCAATTTGCCCCGCAAACATCAATGCGCAATTGAAAATTCTACGTAGACCGGCAAAGTACAACGACACCGAAGGAACTGAATTCTGTATTACGGCGGACCGATAAATTTACGATCGGGAGCAGAATTCTAAAACAGGTCAGGGAAACAGTGCCGTTTATTTACGACAGATTGAATCGATTTGGTTCAGCTTTATGTTGCTGTAAAATGGATTTCATAATACATAAATGGGTTTTATTATATTCTGTATACTATCGAATATTCACTACATTGAAGGATTTCAATGTTTAACGCAATATTGTAAACAAAACAGAAACATTAAGGAAGTTTAGATTATTGAAATTCAACTTTTATTTTTCGTAGTTGTATAAAGTACCCCGAAAATATTATTAGAGGAAAAATATATGTATTTTACTCTTGCTTCTAAAAATTAGTTTTCGAAATGTAAATTTACAGTAGCGTTTCGAATTTTATAACATCACTATGCACAATATGAAAAGTTCCGAATATTCGATAACCTTCGTCGACTCATGATCTGAAGAAAATAAAGCGATATGACACGCTGTTTGATATTTAAATATAACTGAATATACAGATAGAAATTATGAAATCGTAAGAAAATTGTTCAGCAATATTTTTTAGTAATTATAATGGAGACAATGTAATGAAATTTGTCATCGAAAAATTAATATTAATATTTCACTTTGAAAGAGTTTTTGAAACATGGCAACACTCTTTTACACTCAAAATGGTTCGAAAGTAACAAAAAATGTACACTTTAGATAAAATTACAGACAATAGTAAGAAACAGTAATGCTATTTTTTTAATCAAAGAAGTTCAAATGTTTCTAGGATTGTGGGTCCATTTGAAATTCAACGAAAAGTTCTGCTGAAGAAATTCTCCAGTGGAAATTGAGAAAGTTGCGTTGATCAGATTCCCAATCGATGAAACGTTCACATTAGCAAATGTAAAAACGATCAAATTTTCGACCCGACAGGCACACGTACATGGCGATCCACGCGTTGAAATAGCATTCAGTATACTGTATATGTAAAAATAATAAAAACTGTTGTTCGAAATGTTACAATATTAAAACATCTAATAAAATAGTATGAAAAATGTTTCATAAATAATGGTTCGTGAAGCTGTTCAAACGCTCCATGAAAAATAATTGGTATGTCGAATTTATATAACTTTGTAACAAAAACTTGTACAGCAATCACTTTGATAGAGGACGACACCGATTTTAATGAGTTTTTGAAAATTGATAGTACATGCATTTATTATCAAATATGTTATATATCAGGCGTAGTTACTTGCTAACTCGGGAGATATTAAAACACGTTGACCACCACGGTGGCCACCGATGACCGGAGCTCCCAAATTACTTGAAAATAATTACATTTCGTAAGACAATTGACGTCGAATAAAAACATTCAATAGCTTGAATAACTGTATGGTAATGAAACCTAAAAACTGTTGCCAAATAATCGATAATTATTCCTTTTTATCGTTTCTATGAAAGGATAAGTGATATATAAAATACTGCACTTCTTCGTAGCAGTCAACATGTTAATATAATTGAAATTACGTACTTTCTTATATAATGCAATCTTAAGCAAAGTCCATGTAAATGTGGTTAGAGAGGCGACGGAAGTAATTGGATTGTAATTCGAAGGTCCTAGGATGGATCGATTCCTATTCCTTGAGAAAATATTCTTTCTGTTTTTTATGTTTTACTTGCATAATTGTGTGTAGTAATTATCGTATATACAATTATAATACATGATCACTTGTCATGTGTACACTGTCTTTTCCTTAAATCGTCTAGGAAAACCACTTGATTAACATTATAAAATATTTCGCGAGATAAAATTTAATTATATTTAATTATTTAATTATATAAATTGTATTTAATTTGGCAGCACAGAATGCATACCGTTGTAGAATACATTGGTGCTTGTTGTTGATCCTGAAAAACACTTGAAAAGGTCGTCGCTGATTGTAAAACGCGCTCATCACAATGAAGATAAGCTGACATTTGTTTTAAATGTATGTATAATAATTACCATGTAAAAACATTTACCCCTACACTATGTTGAAACATAAAAAACAAAAGAAGATATTCTCAAGAAATGAGAAATTGGTCTGGGACATTCGGATTACAATCCAATCACTTCTGTCGCCTCTCGAACCACATTTACATGGATTTCGCTTAACACTAAGCTACATAAGAAGCTGCGTAATTTTAATTATTATTAAAATATTTCATTATAGACGCATGTAATATCAACTTGCAAAAACTCATTAAAATTGGCATTAACACAATAGTATCCTTTCCTGGTGAACTCTTTAATTAATTAAAATAGTGAAGATACCTTTCTACTAGTAAATTATTAAAATTCTAACGTCAAACTGAAATTTATTTTGCATAACTAACTCCACTACTGAAAATAGAAGCACTTCGCTTACAATGAGATTCTCAAAATTTTTACACGACTTTTTTTACTAAAATAAAAAAGTAAACTTTAAATACGAAGGTCAAACAATGAAAATACCTGAAATTTTAAAAATTCTTCGAATTTTCATAATTTTTAGATATATTAAACGTTTAATAACTTTATTAAAAACAAATTTATACATTAAGTTTTGGAAGGTAATTGCTATGAAACTTCAATCTTCAATACCATGGTGTATTCTTTTTATAGAAAAGGTTTCTCAACATCTCTAGACACGTTTGAATTCTTCGTTCAATAATTTCACGCCGGATGCACTTTAAATATTTCATATCTGAAATTATAGCACTTCTATTCTGTGTAACAATACTATTAAACCATGAACGTTAATTTTATAATCTTACTGATATTTGCTAAACACATTTTATAAAATATTTTTCTTTATTTCTCTTATTATATATCTTCTTTCAAATTAGTAAAGAAACTCAGCTGAAAAAATTGTCTTCATCTTCGGTCTAACTTTGACACAAGAAAATACAACTATTACAGTTTATTTAGTAAAAACATCTGGATGTGGATATCATGAAAATTCTAATGAAATCAGATACCTTGACTTTTCTTTTACTATATACATGTTTATACAGATATGTACATCGCCATACGTCTATTATTGCTTACAACAAATTATTATACATTTTTGAGAATGTCATGCACTAATTTATAATATTCCACCAATGATATAACCAATTAATTATTTTTAACCAGTCTATCTCTAAGTCTCTAAGCTACAGCTTTACGTATCCCCACACGCTTCGAATAAAGTTCGCATCGGGCGATCACGTGTATCAGTCCGATATCTGAATACCATTTACTATTTCCTATTATGTACTCAGATAGCTTCGATAGTTAGGACCATCTTCTCAAATATCCAATTTCGATTTTTCCTTCGCAATCAGTTCTCAGCTGATCTTAGCAAATTTTTCGATAAATTTTAATCATTTTTGTCACGGTCGAAACCCGTAAATGGCAATAAAATCCAAAATCAGTGTTTGAAGGAGTTCCAAGCATGCACTTTTCCAAGGTATTTTAAAGTATATTGAAAAAAATACCACTCGATGAAGCTGTCTACGGACGATTAATGGTAATTCACAATGAAACAGAAGAAGCTTTATTACATTGCCTTAATTCTGGTTCATACTGCTGCTCAAGGGATTTTTCTTTACCATGCCTTCCATCGAGGAAAGCTTTCGTTGTTACGCTCGGAAATTTGATGTTATAAGAATCTACACACATATAAATGTGTTCATATCGCGAACTTATACTACATTTCTTAAATTTGGGGTGCGTCTAAAAGAACGATAGGCGAGGATTTGATAAAAATGTTCAATATTCACGATTCAATTAATTTCCTTATGCATTATATTTAATGACACGTTACATTTTCGAAGAACACTGACGGTTTGTGTCTCTATATATAACTTCACTAACTTGCTTATAAATGGATTTCTCTTTTTCAGACTGTTTTAAATGTGTGTGCATGCGGGATTCATATTTAAAGGCACTATTTTCTTATATAAGTTAAAGAATCACTGAAGATTTTCAAGAATTTTAACATTCAAGAAATTTTTATAATACCACAATTTAGCGAGAATTGGGCGAAATATATTTAGAATTGTGTAAAATGTAATGTGATTAGATATTACAATTACCTAACGATTGAAATGCAATTTTTATTCGATCACAGGTTATTAACTGTAATCATTATCTTTTTGGACTTACTGTAACCACCTCAACTGTTTCTAAATTATTAATAATTGGAAATTGTAAAAGATACTTTGTTATCAATTCAAGGATATATATGTATGAGTCATTGTCAGTAATATGTAGTATCATATTATTCTTTGTCCAACTGTATAGTTTTCCATTTGAACAGCGAAATGTAATCTCTAACCACTCTTTATACACTGAGGTTTCACCTTCCAGATATTGAGATTCACCTTCCAGATAAAATCAAGGTTTGAAGGAAAAGAGACACGAGTCTCGAAAAAGATATAATGGTGTATTATTTTCGATGGACTAATGGTCCGACAATTTGTATTCGAATGGATTTTTCACTAATGTAGACAAGTCAAGTAAAGCCTCGTATAATGGATTTAAAGGAAAGTCAATAATTTTCATACCTGAATTCGGTTGTCCGTTGCTATTGGGTCGCGCCGATGGTGCTCCGTCTCGGGCCTCAACTTCCAACGCGTACGCACCTTGCTTCTCACGATCGAACACTACCTTGGTGAAGATCTCGCCGGTGTCTTTGTTGATCTCGAAATAGTCCAATCCCTCGTTTCTGTCACTCTTCACGACAAAATAGGTAACCTAAAACACAAATTATAACATCCAACATAATTTGTTTGCTTTAATCTTATAAAGCCACTGAAAATAATCTTTGAACTTCTTATAGGCTGATAAGAGAATTCTTTACCAAAATCATTCTGTATGTGTACATCTGAGATGAATAATATAATAACATTAACATTTCTAAATGTTAGTAATATTTTATCATTTTATAATTATTCCAGAATTTGATATGAACGATTAATAAATAAACCATGAAAACTTCAAGGGATCGTCAGGATCTTAAAACAAGTGGAAATATAAAGTGCAGTCAATTCTCGAATGACATGCTTAATTAGTTCTGTGTTATGTAAAACCATGACACAAAAGGCCATACAAATGTAATGATTTCGTTTCATGGTCAAAAGATGCAATTTCAGTACCATATTATGTAATTATTGGTGTAATTAATGTAATTTAGCAATTCAATTTTTTATTGTGCTACTCGTGATTTCGTGTAACCCATGTATTCACAGTGGTATTGGGGGTTACCTTTGATATACAAACAAATTAGAGAATACTTATTCCATAATAGGTAATATTTAATAACCCTTATTTAATAAAATTCAATATACATTTCAATGCATTCTATTTTCAATTTAAAAAATATGTGAAATTAAACAATGACGACGATATTTATAATTTGTTTATATCTGTGTTATTATGATGTCATTATATATTTTAAGTACCATTATTTTTAAATTATTCAAAAGTTGTTCAGAGTTTTCTAATGATAAAAGGAATATTGCTTACTAATTTATTAATACTTTATTGATACTGAATCTATCCTTTTGTGTACAATTGTAATAAATGTACGTATAAACTAAAATGACAATTGAATTTATTGATTAAAAGTATGAAGCTAATAATGTAAGATTATTAATCTACTGTAATTTTCGTACAAAAAGTAAAGCTACCTCTTACTTTAACATGATTTTATGCGAATTAACTTCTTCAAGCACATGGATGAACTAATATAACTATTACAACTAATAAGAAACTAAAATTATGGTTAACTATCTCTAACAAATTCATCTTTGAAGAAGTTAATATTAAAATGTGTAAATTAAATAGAAGCCTACTTTCTTTATTAGCAGTCTCATAAAGGTTTAATTTCAATTAAAACTGCCTTTAATGTTAATAAATACTATCAAACATTTTTAACACATCATGTTTTCATAAAAGAAAAGAAATTATCAAAATTTTATTTGAGAATAAATAAATAGACATAGATTGAATTAAGAAAAAAACAATAAAAAGTGTATAATATCAAACATTTTATTAATTCAAAATTCACTGAACTGGTTTTCGAACAAGAGAAGTTTCCTTTCCACCGCATTCGTTTCAATTAAAACAAAGGATAAAGTTTCAACATCCTTTGCATTCTTCTGAAGCTACGGAAAAAATTGCTCCACGTTTTGTAACGTTGTATTTATGTACATACAGTGAATGTACAAATCAATGAAGACTACTGTACAGTGATGTTTCTTTTGAAAATAGTCAGTGTTCCAGAAATTGAATGAAATAATAACGTTTTCGATACAATGAAACGAAAAATTTGAATTAAACATACCAAACATACGTATCAAAGAAGTTAATCACTGAATATGCATTAAAATTTTAAAGGAATGTAACAAATCGATAAACGTATCAATAATATTAATTAAAAAATTAATGATACACGCGTGTAAATATCACTTATGAACATAACTAATGAGGGCAATGATCATATTTTCAATCCATGCAATGAATACTATTAGAGGTTAAATTGATACAGAAATTATGGGTTACACACATTGAAACATGCCAACTTATATAATACTCTAATCCAAAAATATTATAATAATAAAATATAATAGAAATAAGTTTTGTAAGTCGTAAATATAATAACTTCATACAGTTTAATGGGCTAAACTTAGTGGGCAATATAGTTGATAAATCAATTAGTTTTTTCCAGTTAACGATTAAAAGTACCCATACAAATTTCTCTCAATAAGAATTAGTATGTACATACCTATGAAACAAATAATTACAATTTTTTAAATAATATCAATATATAACATATTACAATAAGAATTTAGGAATTATACGATATAGTATTTGGAGAACAAATTAATGAATACTTATTTAGAATTCAAATAATAATAAAAACATTATCTTTGCTAAAATTAATGTCGTCAATTTAATAATTTATAGGTATGTATTATTCAATGATTCTTTTCAGTTCACGAAGGTATCATGTCCAGAATATTTACACCCAGTTACTTGTGAAAACAAATAGACCTTTGGTAATAGGTATTTGCAATATTCACAATAAGCGAAAATAATAAGTGCAATATGATTGTAATTGAAAATAATAATTATGAGATGCCAACTCATACTTTTAATCCCTGACATTTGAGAGGTGATTCCCAGTCGTAACTTGTTCCAATTCAGGACAGTTATAACAATTGATATTCAACATTAAATTTTGCATAACATAAGAACACGTGAAATATTGAAATCAAATATTGAAAACTTTATCGAAACTAGTACTGTAGGTTTAATATAATTTCTCTTTGCGTTAGCTGTAAAAGGTGTCATCGATGTTTCATCAGGAAATCGAATTGCTGCTTGTCTTCGGCGAAAAAATGTTTTGAAGAAATATTGAGGATTGAACCAACTGTCGAACGATTTCACAGCCATCTCCTTGTACATACTTTGCAGCAAGATATGGGAAATTACTATAAGAATTAATCGAAACAGAAATAGATTTGCAACGTCATCAAACTTGTGTAACTATAAATAACTGGATTAACTTATACAAATTCAGATCTCCAGTAAATGTTTCTTAAAATATTAATTATGAATTTTAAAAAAGTTCAGCACGTAATTCTAATTTATTAACAGTCGACAAGTGATTTAAATTTTTTGGTCTGCAGGGTCTGCATAATTTTACTCTGGTTTCAACACATTCCTCCTATGTAATAAATAAACTTGTACTTCATTTACTGTGTTTTCGTTACTATATTTTTCAAATTATATTTATTAATCCCATATTACATTTCATATAAAACCAAGATAAAAAATATAAAATAAGTACGAAAAACAGCAATTCCGCTTTTGCCTAAAATATATTCTTTTAAGTGAAAAATATGTTGTTCTTAATGGCGTTATGGGTATGTTGGAGTGGTTTTAATGGTAAGTAAATACATATTCGCACAAAGAGTCATTTACATACGCCCGCAACGCATTATTTGCAATGAGACTGCAGGACGTTTTAAATTATACCGACGGCAAGGGTCACGCGATTAAATTTAATTACGGCATTTTGCAGTATAACGATATTACACGACACAAGGAAGTTACACGGTATTTCCATCACACCTGTACCATTGACAAACACAATTCACCCCCACCCCTCTCCGTGGAATTCACAAAGTTTCAGTCGGAATAATATATCTGTTTAGCCAATTGTAACTATGATACTTATCACGAGGAGCTGTGCAGTTACGAGTCGTATCCGTCGATTCCAATTAGGACTTTAACCATAAAGCACAAGCAACGATGTGTTTCGAGCTATGTAATTTTGCAAACCATTGTTCCTTGAAACATATACATTACTGGAAATATGTATTATATCATACTTGTGTTTGTACATTATTAGCATTCATCATTTTCATCACTAATTGAATACGTTAACTATTACAAATTCGCTTCATAGAATCTCTTTAAAAGAACCGTGATCATTAAGAAACTTTAGTTTAGCAGAAAGTTAACTTTCATATTTCTTAAAGTACGTGCAAGTTATCATATCACTTGAATGTGGATACAGATATATATTATTTAAAACATTTTTCGTGTCTTTTGTATATTTTTTCATAAAATTCAAACGTTTTTATTTTGCAATATATAAACAAAAAATTTTAAATAACTTCCAAATAGTTTTGGGGATATGTGACTAAAATTAATTAAACTAAATATTCGTTCGTTAAATATGCGGTTCACTATCTTGATTTAAATATATTTAATATAAATGATCTTAATAATTTTCTGATTATGAAAGTTGTACGCAATTTGAACACAATTTGGTCTAATTTTGTTACAATTAAGAGTATTTTTGAGGTTTCATATATTTATAATATTGATTCTTATATAAAACACGTAACACATCATTCTTATAACAGTTGTTGGAGTTTTTCTTGTTTCTATTATATCATATTATACTGTACCTATATTTAATGAATTAAAATTCTAAAATATTAAATATATTAAATTTTAAAATAACGGTAATATAATGATAGTAATAAAATAATGATAATAGTAATAATGTATATAAATAGTATTATTAATAATAGTAATACCAACAGAGACAATATACTTCTATAAATTTTCATGAAACGTCATTACGGTAAGAGCATTCTCGCTACCCTTACCAACCACCGTGCCGCTAGATACATAACAAACTTAATAATGTTCTGCTAGACGATTAATGTTTATGTTGGCTGTGTAGTTATCGAAACAGTTAACTCTAACATTCCAGTTTTGTTGACGGCCTTCTTATACGGAACTCAAACCCCACAAATTAATTACTAACAATTGCGAGAAGCAAATATAAGGATAAAAATGAATATTCTGTCAATACAGTAGAACATTTAAAACGGTTTCGAATTGTGTAACATTAACAGTTTGGGAAAATGAATATCGTGAGAAGAATAAACGAAAATTCGAGTACATTCTCTTCTAAGCATTTGTTTTAGAATAACAATGGAATGGTAAGCATAGACTACAATAGCCATTTGCAAGCAGTGTACTTATTTCTGATTGGAGCTCGCGTGTAAGTAAACGTCTACGCAATGTAGGCTACAGCGGTAAACAGAGCGTACAATTGAAATCTAACTTTAATGAGTAATAATAATAATAGTGAGTAATGCTAATAACTCTGATGAGAACCTGAGAGGTGATCAATGAATGGTTAAAAACAATACCGTAATCAGAAGCTTCTGTCAAATGTAGAATCAATTTATGATTTTATAACAGGTCACGAATTTTAAGAAAAGTTAAACTCGATGTGTATAACAATTCGTACAATATGAAAAATAAAATAACAGATTTTAATTAAAAACATACCGTTAACGGAAATAATAACTACATGCCGCTGTATAATTATGTACATATGAACTGTACGATATAAAATGTATTTCATATATAATACAATCTTAAAAATACGAATTATACAGCTTTATTTGATAATAAAATAGTATATGTGTTCCTGCCACGTTAGTTAAGCCTCTATGTTAAAACAAGAAATATAAAAACGAATTGTATAATATATCTATGCAAGAAACACTCAAAGTTTCCTGAGCACTTTACTTTAAATATTTGTACCTAAGTGTAACTAAGAATAATTGAGGTTTTATATACATAAACCAGTATGTAATCCATTAAAATAGCATAACACCGAAATTCGTTTGGACACTAAATTTTAATAGGTATGTAGACGAAAGTAATATTTCACTGCGTTCTTGAATTCGAGTCATAATCTCAGGTACAATATAATGTAATTAAAATTGTATGACCTCACAGAAAAAGAGAAAAAAAGATAACAATGATTTTGACATTTCCAAAAGTATGATCTTGACCTAAACATTTTTGTAACTATAACATTTTCCTTCTCAACAAAGAAATTAAAAGGAATTGAAATCATTATTATTTTCATTATTTTATTTCATTATTATTTTTTGATGAAAATTTTAACAACCTTGCAAAATGTTATGAAAGAATGTTGGTACGATATTAAGCTACTTGTTACAGTATCATATTACCAAAAATGAGAAAAATATTGGGACTATTTGAGGCAAATGGAGTAGCATGCATATAAGGCTTAATTGTAGTTTAAATCTCGATTACACAGTATGTTCGTTTCATGCTTCAGTCATGCGTGTACACACGAATATTTCCGTAATGATTCAATATACGAAAAAATGTTTTAGATAAAAGGTTGTTCGACCTAATGGAAAACATTTAGTAAGTTGTTCCGATGTTTTTTACATTATTATTTAGGGGCATTTCAAAGTCAATGCAATTTCTTTAAATGGAACCACGTATTTTCATAATTATATTCACATATTTAACACTAAATTATTTAAAGCAGAATGATTGTGAAAAACTGTTTCATAATTATTATAAAAATTTATAACAAAATTAA